AAAAAAAAAAAAAAAAAGCAAGACATTTACAGAAAAATCAATATATGAAAATCCAAAATAAAATACTAGCAAATAAACCCCACTGGTTATTTAAAAAAGCTTAAAAAAAACCTTACCTAAACCAAGAGAGACTTGTACAGTGTGAAAAGGATGGCTCAAAATTAGAACTTTTCATTTTATTTATATTAATATGTTGAAAATCATAATCATCATAGACGTTGAAAAGGCATTTGAAAAAATTTACTACAAAATTTAAAAAAGAAACATCACATTAGAAAGAGGGATACTTCCTTAAATTACACACAATAAAGGAAATTAAACCCAGAAACACACCCATCAAGCCAAACCCCAGCATCATTTGTAAGGCATGGAAGCGACAGAAGCTTCCATCAACCTTTGGAACAAAAGAATGCCCTCTGTTACCACTATTATTTTGGAGGCCCTAGCTGATGCAACTAGGCAAGGAAAGTAAGACATTAAAGAGAAAAGCAGAAGGTGAAATAGTTATATTTACTCTGAAAAATGAGGCAGACAGATTTTGCTAAGGAGTAAGGAATATACTAAACAGCCTTCCTTTTCCTTAATTTTTAAATTATAGAGATGGGGCTGGGAACAGCTCATGCCTGTAATGCCAGCACTTTGGGAGACCAAGGCAGGTGGATTGCTTGAGGCCAGGAGTTTGATACTGGCCTGGCCAACATGGCGAAACCCTGACTCTACTAATAATATAAAAATTAGCTGGGTGTGGTGAAACACACCTGTCATACCAGGTACTTGGGAGGCTGAGGCATGAGAATTGCTCGAACCTGGGAGGTGGAGGCTGCAGTGAGCTGGAACTGCACTACTGCACTCCAGCCTGGGCAACAGAGCAAGACCCTGTCTCAAAATAAATAAATAAACAAACAAACAAATAAATAGAGATGGGGTCTTATTATGCTGCCCAGGTTAGTCTCAATCTCCTGGGCTCAAGCAATTCTGCCTCAGGCTCCCAAAGTGCTAGGATGACAGGCCTGAGCCACCACACCTGGCCTCTGACAGTCTTCCTATCTACAAACAAGCAGTTGGAAAAGAGAAGAAAACATTCCATTTGCAACAGCACACCCCCAAAAAAACAAAACTCTCAGAAATCAATATGCAAAAATATGCACTCACTATCCATATGAAGAAATCTTTCAATGAAACACTTTGAATGCAAAGAAAGCCACAGCTGCACGTTATCGAGAAAGATGCAACATTAAAAATATGTCACGGCCAGATGTGGTGGCTCACACCTGTAATCCCAGTACTTTGGAAGGCCGAGGTGGGCAGATCACAAGGTCAGGAGTTTGAGAACAGCCTGAGCAGCACAGTGAAACCCTGTTTCTACTAAAAATACAAAAAAATTAGCCGAGCATGGTGACCTGCATCTGGAGTTCCAGCTACTCAAGAGGCTGAGGCAGAAAAATTGCTTGATTCAGCAGGCAGAGATTGCAGTGAGCAGAGATTGCACCACTGCACTCCAGCCTGGGTGACAGAGTGAGACTCCATCTCAAAAAACAAACAAAAAGATGTTACTATCAATATCAAGTGGGGGTGTGTGGAAATGGAGCCTTCACACATGTTGGGGGAACATAAGACAGCATGGCCACTCCAAAAGACAGTTTGGCAGTTTCTTAAAAGGTAAATATAAATTTACCTTATGGAGTTGGATACTGTGGCTCAGACCTGTAATCTCAGCATTTTGGGATGCCAACATGGGTAGATCACCTGAAGTCAGGAGTCCAAGACCAAACTTGGCCCACACGGTGAAACCTCGTCTCTTCTAAAAATACAAAAAGTAGCCCAATGTGGTGCGGGTCCCTGTAATCCCAGCTACACAGGAGGCTGAGGCAGGAGAATAGTTTGAAAGTGGAAGGCGGAGGTTGCAGTGAGCTGAGATCACGGCACTGCACTCCAGCCTCAGTGACAGAGCCAGGCTCTATCTCACAAAACAAAAAAAATTAGGTGTGGTGGCACATGCCTGTAATCCCAGCTACTCGGGTGGCTGAGGCAAAAGAATCACTTGAACCCAGGAGGTGTAGGTTGCAATGAGTCAAGATCATGCCACAGTACTCCAGCTGGGCAACTGAGTGAGACTGTCTCCAAACGAACAAATAAAGTGTCAACATCAGTGGCTCTTTGTATACTCACAGAATGGTGCATCCGTCACCACAATTGATTTTAGAACTTGTTCATTTCCCCAACAAGGAACCCTGCTATCGTTGGTCATCACCCCTCCCAATTCTTCCTTCCACCCCCAGCACTAGGTAACCAGTAATCTGCTCCCTGTCTCTCTGGATTTTCCCATCTGGGCATTTCATATAAATGGGATGATACCGTATGTGGCCCTTGGTGACTGGCTGCTTGGACTTGGCATAAAGTGTCAGGCTCACCCACATGTGGCCCATGTCTGTGCTTCATTTGTTTTCACTGCCTTATTACCCAAGTGGTGTCATAAGCACTGCAGGTGAACTGTGAAAAGTTAGGGTGTGTGTTGTAATCCCTAGAACAATTGCTAAAGAAAGCATATATAGCTAAAAACATAGAGCAAAAAGATACAGCCAAAAAGCCACCAGAGATGAAAGGATATGTGAAGAATCACTCCATTTATCCAAAAGAAGGCAGGAAAGGAGTAACAAAAAACAAAAAGAGAAATAGGCCAGGCACGCTGGCTCACTACTAAAA